AAGTTGAGGCCTCTGGGCTCCCTGGTCGGGGTCCGAAAGACGGCGAACACGTTTAGATCTGTTCTCCGAGTTGAACTATTTCGTTGCGAACGTTTCATCACCAATCGAAGTGACTTCGTCAGTGCGTAGTAAGCAAACGTGACCGACGAGAGAGTGATGTTTGAACTTGGCCACTTCGATTCACGTTTGGCTGGATACACTTGCTGACATGGATGGGAGCCGCTCACAGTGGCGTTCGTGTTATGAGTTACTTTGTCTTTCCCCATCCCTCTTAGCCTTCCCTTCCAACAGCGATCTCATTTTTAGCATACAATTTTGCCTAATAATTTTACTGCTGGTAGCTTTCCGGTACGATGCCAATCCATTACTGCGAACAATGAACAATGATTTATCATGGGTAAAAAAGCATTTGCTTAACAAGTCCTATAGGATGGTTGGAGTAAAAATTAAAATTTGAAGGATCATCGAATAAGTAAATCGTTATTTCAAGCGTCCACCGAGTTAAATACACTACTGCATAACGATATTTTGAAGTGGGAATGGGATGTGCACACGCAAAATAGTATAGAGACCTGTTATAGTTCAGTAAGTGCGTGAGAAATAAAATAATGGAAACGACAACGCTCACTCGTTTGTTTCTTCATTTGGCAGATGTATTTTAATCCAGTTTAACTACATCCCGGCTCATCACATGGACACTTGTGCATGTATCCTCACCGCCACGTTGCGGAGAGGTCCGTTAAGCACATGGTTAAATTTGCGTTATTTCGTCCTCCAAGTGGAACGGACTATATCAAATAATGCAAGTTGAAAAGCGTTTCATCAAGGTGTTTTTTGAAAAGCGTTAATGTAGGGTCAAGGATAACGTCAGTCGGAAGGGTATTCCAGGCACGGGACACACGGAGGGAGAAAACGTTTTGTCGACAGTCAAGTCGACTGTAGTGCGTAGACACTTTGAGCTTATGGCCTCTCAGATTGGTATTTTGACTCAGCTGCAACAGATTGCGACATAGGTGAGTTGGGTTCGTCAGTATTAGGTAAACTATGATTAGACCTCCTCGCTGACGTCGATATACACTATTGTACAATCTCAGGGACTTCAGCTTGCGTTGGTAGGAGAGATGAAACAATCATCTAACGTTTGGTCGCTCTACCTTGTGGAGCTTCAAGTGTATCGATGTCGCGCTTGTGCCAGGGTCGTCAGGCCTGGATCACATATTCCACGTGGGACCTCACGTAGGCGTTCAGCATTTGCAGAAAGATGGATGGCTCAAAATTTCCGAAAGCCCTCCGTAAGAGTCCAAGATGTTGACTGGCTCTTTTTGATGCCTTTTCAGCCTGTTTTGAGCAACCAAGGTCGTCTTGCACGATCACCCCAAGGTCGTTTTCTTAGGAAGCACGTTGTAACTGCTGGTCCCCAAGTCGATATTCATAGATAAGCTGATAGCGTATGCTTACGACTCTTTGCACTTGGTCACGTTGAACTGGAGCTGGTTGTCAAATGACCACGCATAAGCCCTGTCGAGATCGCTCTGCAATGCCATGTGATCATCCGATGTCCTGATATCATGCCAAATTTTGATGTCATCTGCAAATATTAAGAAATTCAATTGCAGTACACTGCCAAGGTCGTTAATGAATGTGAGGAATACACGTGGCCCCAGTACCGATCCTTGAGGCACATCACACTGGACGTCAATTGGGTCGGAAATGGAGCTGCGGACTCTCACAGACAACTGACGTTGAGCGAGGAAGCTGCTGATCCAACCGAGCATAGGGTCACCAATTCCATAGCTTCGAAGCTTGTGAAGGAGAATGCGGTGATCCAAACGATCGAACGCTTTCGAGAAGTCCATGCAGGCAACGTCGACTCCCACTCTGGCATCGGCTGACTCTGTCCAGCTTGCTCTTTGTCTAGCAGCAAGTTTGTACTGCAGGATCGATTTCGGCGGAATCCGTGTTGCTGTGACACTAGGATGTTGTTGCTCTCAAGATATCCCATGGGTGCCTCTGCAATTATACGTTCCATTACTTTGGATAAAACTGGGAGGAGAGTGATTGGACGGTAGTTCGAAGGCTCCGAACGATTCCCACTTTTATAAATAGGAGTGACTACTCCATGTTTCCACATTGTGGGAACCTGCATTTCGTCGAGACAACCTTGAAGCTAATGGTTCGACAGGGTTCATGGCCGCTGTCTTCAAGGCCTTCAGTTTGATATCGTCCACGCCAGGTGAGCTGTGCACGCGCAATGACATTAACGTTTTCATCACATTGACTGCCGTGAACGATACGTGGTTTAACCCTGGTGGCGATGGTAGCTGTGTAAAAAGCGGATGAAATGATGATTCACTCCGGATGAAGTGTTGGCGAAGCATACGACACCAAAGAGAATTGACGACTTTCTTTTCTGCGTCCTCAATGACATCAACATGCAGGTCGGATCGATAATACAGGAGCACTCCCCCTCCTCTTCTAGGTCGATCGTTTCGTATGGAAGTCATGCCGGGTAGTGCAATCTCAGCATCCGTGATCTCCGTGTTCAGCCATGTTTCGGTGACCATAACTAGGTTCCAAGACTGGATACCTGACGAATACGAAATTCGGTTAGCTTGCATTGGTATACAAGCAGGTGAGGGCATCGGTGGTCAGAAGCGTGTTTGTGAATGGTGGTTTCTGTTAAGGGTCTATGACGACCCTTGCGGGGTCGGCTGCCGGTCGTGTTTTTTCTAGGACCGATGACGCAGGCCTTAGGGTCAGTTCAGGTTGTTGTATAGAGCTCTCAGCGCCAACAAGAGGGTGAACATGCTGTCCTCCTTCAGCTGTCTGTGTGTTTGGCATTGTTTCCGTTCTGAGCTACACGGTGACAGAATTATATTGGTAATTGCTTGCTCAGTGTTACGTTGTCTATCTGTGGCCCGGTGCCTATTGCCTTTATACATATTTCGGATGGCAGCATTTTACGCTTTTTGTGCCACATTTTGATCACATGTTCTGCCATCAGTTCGGAGTGCAATGATACTTTCATCACTCGGGGACCACACCCTTTGTAGTTAGGTGATAGCAGTAACCTTGATGTCGAATTAGCGATAACATTTTCGAGTGAGAGTACTTCACGAATAAAACGCCATTCATCCCAGTCATACGCTTTGACCTCTAGCTCGCTTAGTGACTGGAGCTCGGTGACACCGTGAACAAGGATAGATTTTGCGTCTTGTTGTTTACGGAAGTCATCCGGATTTTGTTTGCGTTTCTGGCGTTCGGTCCAAGGAGGATCTGGAAATATTCGAACAGTGCATATGGTGGTACGGAGGCGAGTGGCTGATAAGAGAACTGCCTCTGCATCATTATCCTGAATGAAGTGTTACCTGGAGTAACCGCGGTTCACCATAGTGTACGGAGTTTAGGTGACGGACGAGACACATCATACTGACTGGTTTAGCTTGAACCCCTGTTAGTTGACACAGGGAGTCCCACTGTTTTTGTTTTCTAGTCTCTTATCTTTTATGGAGTTCGCCCCGGATTCAGTCACATTAGAGCATATAACAGTTAGAGAATTATTGTAGTGTTTCATGCTCTCCTTTTTGGAGCGACCAGTGGCTGTTTTTTCGGTTGGACAAATGATGGGGTCTTGAGTCCCGTGGTGGTATTGGCAGCAGTAACTCGTTTGGCAGCGAGCGAGGTTGCAATGCGAGGTGCCTCCGTCATATGGTTAGTAACAATGGACGCGTAGGTTGTCAGCCCTCGAACAGCGTTCAGTGTGGCGTGTGATTCCGTTGAGGAATGTGTGGCGAACGCATCTTTATGAGCTGACGCTAGTGACGGGGTGGCTAACTCTGGATCGTTACTCTTACACTGTACTGAATTGGAGCTTGATGTTGAGCATCGATTTCGATGCACTGATTTGTCTGGTTCATGTGGGACAGCTTTTACGGCTGCTGCTGCTTACTCTACAACCTTTGTCAACCTATCGTACTTCTGCGCCAACACAACTATACATCTGACGAGTGGAAGAGACGTACACGCAGTGCAGAACCACAGGGAATCAGTCGTATTATTAAGCTTTTTTATCTGGCTGAGACTAAGGCGAGCACATCGAGAATGGAAGTATTTTCGGCAGTTTCTGCATTCTACTCCCAATCGCACAAGTTTTACACAGCTGTCTACGCCACAACTAACGTTTATTTCGGTAGCTTTGGGATTAGCTTTCCGTGGGCAATCAGTACGTGTCGTTGTGACTGTCAGATCTGCGGAAGCCGTTTGTTGCAACGTCTGCACTGGTATGCTGAATCCAAACGCCGTCGGTCAAGCTGGTGATCTGGCAGACACCTGTTCCATTGCTGTAGAACAAATCCAAGATGGCGGATGCGGGCAGCAGTTGGGCCAATCAGTGAGATCTCCGACAGTAGCCGGAGAACATCCACCAAGTTCGCACAGGTGGAAAAATACACCAAAAGCAAAGTATTTGTGCAAAATTCATACAGAGGAAACACGTATGATACAGTATTTCCAAAGCAAAAGTAAAATCCAGCACGGTAAAGCAAAAATCCGCGGCGTCCGTGGGTACAGCCCAGCGTAGTATCTGGTGCCAGTTGGCGTGCATCTGTTGTATCTTTCCTTACTTTCTTATGTCTTGTGGCACAGTAGCAGAGGTGTTTTCCACCTCTAGCTAAGGTGTATAATAATGGCGAATGATATGTGACCATATAGATTGCAATGTCATGCGGCACAATATCAGCGGCATTACTCACCTCTAGCCATCGTATGACGATAACGATGATGAAACTGCAGCTGCTGATGATTTTTGAGTACATCGCGCCATATCAGTGTCTACCGCTAATTATCAATTGCTTTCACGGTTATCATCATAACAGTTAGAGAAGCAACACGGCAGTGATGTTTCTTCGCGTACGCCATAGCACCACCATTTCATTTTTCATAATGCCGCCGTGTTGTGTTTATTGATGGCTACGGTTGTGTCATTGTATCCGTGTACACAGTCATCTACCGGGACTCTACGTGTTGGAACTGGTGCCAGGATGCGAGGCCGAACTTGACGGGCGGCTGCGAAAAGATGATCAAATTTTGGAAATCAATGGGATCAATTTGTCCAATGGGTCACAGGAACAAGCAGCACACATCATTAATGTGGGTCGTTTTAGTGTTTACTATATATTTTGTGCATTGTATTATAAGTGCTTCATCTCACTCCTTAATTAATTCAACGTGTCAGTACGCGCGCATCACATTTGGTCAACTTTTCTCCTATCTCTTTTGTTCAAGGATACTCGACGTAATTGCGGTACATTTTAATGTAATGCATCATCCTTCGGCACTAGTTTATAATCAGGGAACACCCGCGTCATTCTTGTCCCTGTTTCAGACGTCCGCTGATTTCGTGAACTTCAAAGTGAGGCGCAGGTATCGCTCGGACACTCCGGATATTTTGAGGACAGCGGGAGAATCAAATGAACAGACTGACGTATCCATCGCTACGCACGTTGTTGGTCACAAGGTCTTTGATACACCGCGCTTAGGGCGGAACAGACTATGTTCATCAGAATCAATGAGACCTCGTCTGCAAAGAACCCGTTCTGTACAGTCAGACACCGAAAGGAGGTTAGTGTCGTCATTTCAGACAGAAACGTCCTCTCTGCACGCCAGTCAGACTGCATCTTCCTTAATAGAAGGTGACATAGTCGCGACGTCAACTTCTCCACTTTTAAACGATGATGAAGACCAAGAAACGGACAGTGGAAGATCACCGCAGCACTTCGTGCACCCGTTCAAGGACACCGGGCCCATAGAGTCGAAGGTACTTCGAATTGTCGGTGCCGGTTTCCCAATGCATTGGCTGCGACTGAGTGCTAATTTTATTGTATTGTAGCATGCGAAGTCTCTACCTCGAGTTTGACTACATTGAGACGTTACTCGAGGGACATATTCCGAAACTACAGCAACGATAATAATGATAATAATAATAATAATAATACGCATATCTCCCATGATTTGAGAAACTGTTTATAGCGGAACCGATCAATATGTAGAAGAGTTACCATGTTCTTGCATGTGCAATATTGACGCATGCGATTAATGTAACAGCATTTTAGTGGATGCTTAAGGCGAAAGCCAAGGTTCAGATAAGTTGCTTTATACTCGTTTTTGGGCCCCTCCTAAAACAGCTCATCGAGGGATTTTTCCCATGTGAATGTAATGATTATGGTATTTAGATCAAGGTAACCGCAAAGTTTGCTTCTCAATGTTGCCACATTGCTGACGTGTATAATGATGATGATGACATTGGCACATGGCCTGGGTGTGATTGGTAGTTTACTCTACAGATAGCTATACCTGACAAGGAAGAAATTTGCGTGGACGTTCGTTCTAGCCTTCAGTATATTCAGTGTAAAATCTTTGTTACGAAGCGCTCGAGTTGAGCCATGTTGTTATCTGAGTGTAGGCAAATCGGAATAAGCCTTTCTGTGTAGCACGTTGAAAATAGCAACAAGTTGTGCTTCAGTCGTCGAATCCAAAATGCTTCAGTTTGAAATTCATTACGACGCTCTCGATAATTCATTGCAGAGTGGTTACCAACCAGATGTTCAGTAAATGACCTCTGCAGATTCTCCAAAGTAATTCTGTCACTCTTTCTCATATTGCCGTATATTTAACTGCAGTATTCCGGTGGGTGAGTAGGCGCAAAATCTCAACTTTGGGATGGGTTATGTGGATTTTGTTGGATATATTGTATACAGAGTATCTAGCCGGCGCTATTTGGCATTGGGCCTGTTAACCAAATGCACACGTAATTTCTTGTCGACAATGCGTGGCACACCTGCTTGGGCATGATCATGGTAAAAAGACAACGAACTATAGCAAAACGTCACATACCCGCCAGTAGCATAGGGGATCTGCAGTGCGTTTTTTTAATGTGGTCCGAAGCTAGGAGCGGCTGCACTCAGGTGCTGAAATACACCGGTACGCTGAATTGCTAACTGTCCAATGGTGCAAATTGCTTTGTCGGCAGGAGTGAGATGAGACACAGAGATGCGACATGTGTGCCTACGATCGCAGGGCACACCGAGCCGTTTGGCTGTGAGAGGTGAACGTTAGCAAACACCACAGCCGCAATCGACCTGTCATGCGTGGATCGCAGAGCAAGTCCAAGGGAACGTACGCCGTTCCGCTGTGAGAAGTGGACATGAGCCGGACGCCACAGCCGTACTGCTTCGATCGATCGGTAGTCGGCCTTTACCCAGGTGAAAAAGCAGCGAAAGTGTTCCCTGTGAAGTGGTTAGTGAGTCGCTGTGTTAGCAAATGAGAAAAACAGCCTGGCCGTATGTGATAACCGGTCGATGGGCAACGTATTGCTATCGCCACAAAAACTGTTACCGCCTCATGACTGGCTTCCAACAAACCCGTAAGCTTTTAATAGGCTGCTTTCGATGCTAAATGGAATCATACTACCGGGAACACAATGTAAGGTTACATTGTTTTCACTTTACGGTTTCGATCGCGTGTGTTACAGCTGAAAATGCACCCTTCATTGGTGCATAAAAACGAATTCTTGACTTAACCTGACGTGACAATGCTCTTAGATTTCAGTCTGTCTCGACGCACTGGTGGCACCATTAGACAGCACACCAATTTACTCATGAATGCAACTATTGTCCTCACCGTCACACAATTGTTAGTTGCTTGAGAAACTTAAAACAGTTAGTTCCCTTCAGAAGTTTGAACAATGAAATGAGAAGACGAATATTGGCAGATGCTAGCATTTCGTATTATCTCGTCAGTATCAATACAATAACAGGGAAATCCTTTTATATGTCTTACAGGGCACAGTCAAGCCAATCAGATTTATGGTGGTGGTTATTGTTGTTGTTAGGATTAGGTCCACGGCAACCACAGGTTGACAACTCATTGCTTTTGGACACACAACTCGCTTAAGCCAATTGTAGTTAATGTAGATAACATCTTCGTGGTTGTGTCATTTCCGTAAAATATACTTTCTGTCCTCCTGAACTTATCTCGGATCCTTTGTTAACAACCTATTTCATATGCTCATTAATTTAAGATTTTTGTCACCGTTTCCTTATGCATTACTCGATTAATTTTCTTTGTTAGCTTTCTCTCAATTGATTGGCTGTTGCTTGATATCCCCGGTGTTGCTGCGCTTGATGTGCATGTTCACAAAGTACCTACCTGTCTATTACCAACTATCTCGTCCATACTGACTCTAGAAGACAGTTGGTCATTGCTGGAGGGGACAGGGTGCACGGTCCTTGTGGCCGTGTTAGGATCCAAGAGTGGTTCCATGCACTCAGTGTAGAGCGGTTGATTCCCCAAATACAGCGTGTTTGTGTTTACTTGCGAAGGAATGTGAGCCGGCTCCGTTGATGAAACGTGGCTCCCATCCACATGCCTCCCGGTCTTATTCCTTCGGGTTTACACTGGATATGGGGTGCGTGGTTAGAGCTGTGGGTGGTGCAGCGCAAGTCACCCATGGTCCCACTGTAGGCGCAGGCGTCCTGTGAATGGCCACAATGATAGGTAAATCCGAAACCGGATGCCGTCAACCTTGTAAGCGTGTGTGCCTCATGCTGAGCTGTATTTGCATTTATTTTGCTTTTACCACAGTTGTGCTAGTGACTTATGCTTGTTCCGCAATACACTAGATCTGCCTTAACCCATTAATTTTTCTTTACTTAGTTCTTACGATTCTCCACGTATTTTTTGCTTTTCGCACTTTTTATATCCTTATCGTTCGTAATTGGTTGATATCCCCAGACCAGTCCTATTGCTATTTTTTATTCGTTTTTTTGCTGTTATTATACTACCGCGCATCTGTTACTCAATTTGCGTGTTTCTTTTCTTTCATATTATGCGTTTGCTGTTTGTTATTCGCGGTGTGGCTGCGCTTCATATTAATGTTAACAAGGTTCCTGCCTGTCGAAAAACCGCTATCTCAATTATAGTGCGTCCAGGAAACAGTTGGTCGTTACTTGGGGAGACGGGGTGCACGGTTCTCGTGACCTTATTAGACTCAACGGGTGGTTCCGTCCGTCAAGTGTGGAACGGGCTACGGTTCAGCCACCGCCTTGTGTACGTCTGGTACACATGACTCCCCAGTCATACAGGAATGCGGCTGCTGTGCAGGTTGAGTGTGGATCGGCTCGGTAGTGAAACGTGGCTCTCAACCACATTTCTTTAGTTCTTATTCCCTCTGTTTTACACTGGATATGAGGTACGTGGATGGAGATGTGGGTGGTGCTCAAACCACCCATGTTCACTCTGTAGGTGCAGACGTTTTGTGGCTGTCCCCACGAAGGCCGTATTGTAAATTTTCGGCTAGTTCCCCTGGTCCGCGGTACCCGGACCCGTCATCCGGACGTGACAAGACTTGCCGAAACCCAGATAACTCCTGGGGGTCACTACTCATGAAGTCCAGATCAGTGGCTACTCGGGCTTCCGGTGCGATAGATTATCAAACGGTCGAGCCGGCGTGCTGTTTTGCATTCGGTCCTTGCTGTGCGGGAGATTGGTACACATCTACCGCAGCGAAGATGGCCCCTTGCGAACAGCTATGGTGCTCGATCCACCTGAGACAGGGCGAACTGTTTGTGAGTGTGTCTTGTCGCAGTCCGCGAAGTCGATGCCTAGATTGGTTGCTGCCGCATGCCAGCAATCACATGAATCGGCCCCGCTTTTTTCTTATGGGTGCTTTTAACTTTCGTCGAATACGGTGGCCTGAGGTTCAACTACTCCCCGGGCAATGTGAAATCGAGGCGCAGTTTGCGGAGCTAGTATTTGAAACTGGTGCAGCACAACGTCTGTCAACCGACGCGCGTTACACCGCATTCCGCTCCATCGTGCCTGGACTTACTACTAACGGGTTGCGAGTAACGTGTGCATGAAATTCAGGTCCTGGAGCCTCTGGCAGCTAGTGACCAATCGATGGTGTTAGCCAGCCTAGAGCTGCTGCCCTACTCGCGTCCGCCGGAGCCGTCCTGCAATTATTGGAAGACCGACTTCGATGGTCTTAATCGAGCCGCCAGTGAAATAGACTGGTCGCTGCCGCAGGATTCATCTGTTGAAGCCTGTTGGTCTGTTATAAAAGAGGGTGTGCAGTTGTTGTGCGCTCGTTTCGTACCCCTCAAGTATCGGAAAGCCGGACCAGTGAAGCCACATTGGTTCGACAGAGAGTATGGTTAATTGGCTTGACGGTGACGCATAGTTTAGAATAAATTCCTCGTGTCTGGCTCTACCGACGATTATGAAACGTAAAAAACAGTGGAATCTATGAAACAGCGCAAAAGCGTCGGCAATTCGGGGAGGAGCGTTTAACCTCAGGGAAGACGGCCCCCAAGAAGATTTTCGCTTACGTAAAGCAGCGCCTGAGGCCCGCATGTGACGTAGCTGTGTTAGAGGGCACTGACGGACAGCCTCTGACCTCCAGCACTGAACATGCGTCCGCATTGGCTGAGCACTTCGCTTCCGTATTTACAAGTGGGCATGCACCTATGCCGAGCTCGAGGTGTATACCCCCTGCTGAACTCAAGAGCCTTGATTGCGGTGTAGATGTCCACAGTCTACTCGCCAGTCATGACAGCACGAAACCTGAGAAGTCCTTATCGGCCATCATCTCGCTTGCCATGACGGATCTGTTCAACAGATCGCTGTCCGAGGGTGCATTGCCGAGTGACTGGAAATGCTCGGTAGTGAAGCCGATTCCAAAATGTGGTGACCCACGCAATGTGACAATTACCAGGCGATTTATCTCACCTCTGTTTTGGCGAAGGTGCTCGAAAAGATTGTGAAAAAGTGTCTTCTCCAGCTGCTGGAGTCGAAAGATTTAACGCCGGCACAAACGGCTTCATGAAGGGC